GATAACAGAGAATACAACACACGACTAAAGAATAAGATATTCTGAGGATTATCTTTGAATATTCGCATATTGGATAGATGAAGCAAGGATTTGAAGATGAAGGTGACAGACGATATTGACGTTAGAAAGTCGAGTCGACAATGTAGTCCGTTCTTCTTCTCTCCTTTTATTTCTGGGAATTCTAGGGATACGCTGTTGCCAGGGCCACAAAATAATTTGGATTTTAATAAAGTATCGATCATTATTAGGAATAAGATATTTCTATTGGTACTAAAACATCTTGCAAGTATATATATTCCTAATTAAGCTGAAGAAGCAATGAGATCAACACACTGACGAAGACCTCCAGGACTGCGGCAGGCCAAAGATCTCCTCGAAAATTTCAATCGAGACACTGATCAATTTCAGCAAAATTAGTCTCGGAGCAATAACGGGATTTCCAAGGGGGCAATATAGACTGAAAGAACACCTAAAAAAGCTTGGCTTGCAGATTTTGCGGGGAAAATCCAGAAACATTCCACCACATCTTGCTGGAGTGTTTTGCTGTACTCCACAAAATATCGAATATACTTGGAGCATACCAGCTGACCGTGGAAGAAATACCACGAACAGATCCCATCAAAATCCTCAGATTCCTAAGAGAATTGAAGCTTGAGGGCCTGCTATAAACAAAAAAACCTTGAGATAGCAGAAGATGGGGCACAATAATAGATCTAATCAGGTCGCAGCGCCTCTGTCACCATCCACAATTACCAATACCAATATAAGTGTTCAATAAGTAATTATATGGGACCAGATATTGTCTTCTGTGAATGTGAATACTGTTGATATCGGTCATATTGAATTTCATGAGTTAATAACTAGTTGCAAATCTGGCAGCGTCGAAATATATCATCGAAGCTGGCGTTTTTCGAAGGTGCCAAATTTCATTATTGAAAAAAATATGTTTGCGATGATTTTGAACAACGGATGATTGCATCAAAGAGTATTTACATACACGAGATAATCGATATAAAATAGAAATTTTCTGGGGAGGGACAGTTCTTGGGTTTTGGATTCAGTAAATAATCATGTTTTTATAGTATCATTTGAAACGTTCCGCCTATAGCCACAGGCTTTTTCAGTCTTTAATATGTACATAAAGTTCACTGTTCTCAACCAGAGCTATTTCTTTGGTAGCATTTTTTGTTTGTATTTTTCCTTTTTGTTTATAATTAATAACTTGTTTTCTGTCGTTATCTTCTATATTGGAAATTGAGGAAGTTTTTTTTTCCTGTAATTTCCAATATAGAATATAAGGAAAGGAAAGAAAAGAAGAAAAAATTATTAATTATGAACAAAAAGGAAAAATACAAACAAAGAATGCTTCCAAAGAAATAGCTATGGTTGAGACCAGTGAATTTTATGTAAAAAATGAAGTTTGAAACAGTCTATGGCCATAAGGGAAACGTTTCAAATGATACTAAAGAAACATAATTATCTACTAGATCCAAAACCAAAGAACTGTCTCTCCCCAAAAAACAGAAGGATTCAAGAACGAATCGAAAAAACAAAAATTTGGAATGTGCCGACTAGTGTGTACAAGCCCAAAGCTGTCATATCGACACTATTCTCGACTCAATTTCCAACAAACTCGAAATATTTGAGACGTTAGATTGTTCAGAATGTTCACAATTGGAACACACTCAGAAATTGAAGATATATATCTACGGTTTCACCATCTTTCATTCTCAGACTCGGGTTTCTTCGAATTGAGATCCACCCACTCATTTGAGCAGACCATGCATTGTTACGTGAAAATTATTTGGAAGCCTTTCTTTGAATTCGCGTTTCGTCAAACGGTTTCCACGCGGGACCATAATTTGCAATGCTTTGTCGCTGGAAATGTATTCTCTTTTTCCGCGAGGAAAATATGAGTTTCGTGTTTCTCGGATACCTTAGAAATGATCACGAACAATATTCCAGAACAGTAAGCACGACCAGGAATGATGTTATGGAAAGCTGGAAGGGTGGAAATCTCTTAAACTTTGCACCTATACAATGTTGAAAAACAAAAATAGTATGGACGGTGCCATTAAAATGAATACTGTCATGAGTAGAACATTCGGTATATTAGTAATTTCGAACCATGAGGGTTTTATAAACATAAAGTTAATCAAATCATTCAAATAAATAATAAATCATCGAACTCTCATGAGAAACGTGCAAATCTAATAAAATGATGTGTATAAATATTGGATGTGAGGGTTCCGAAGTTAGTCTGGTCTGGGGCTACTCTTGACTTGAGACTGGGAACATTGTACCTAACTGATAATCATTTCATATATTTTCCAAAAATCTGAACAATATTCAACTTACCCATGGAACATGGACAATTTTTTTTGTCTTGCTCGTTTTTGCATCCAAAGGCGACACCATTGTTTATCAATATGAAATTACAAAACTTCTCAACAATTAGTTCACACCAACAAATGCAGTCCTTTTGATAAAACAAAACACGCCAATTGAAGAGACATATTTCACACAACCAACGACAATACTTTCTTGCCTAGTAAGATGAGAGAAAAAAATCTAAAGCACTTCAATTATTAGATAAAAGAAAACGTAAACACCAATCCACCATTAAACAACACGAGTAGGAAAGAGACAGGTTACCGTAACAAGCTGTCTTTGTTGCAGCTGCCCCTGACACACTTTGTGCTATTCGAGTATTCGAGAGAACGGCCGTCTCCCTTCCAGGGGCCCGATTCTCGAATCCGTTGGAATTCGTTCCCATGGGAAAAACTCGATATTTCCCATGAAAATTTGAGATGATGTATTCTTGAACTATTGTATAGGAAACTATTCCTACACATTTCAAGAGAACTGCTTCCCATGGTGATATCCATGGGAACAACATGTTTCCCATAGGATAAACTCATGAAATACGAAGTTTTTCTCATTTGTGATGGGAACTGAACCCAAGTGAAAAATCGGAATAGATCATCTAGAGACCTTACAAAATTTGGAAGTGGCTGAAATCCTTGCTAGAAGACCAAGAAGGGACCAATTTAAGTGTTTGTCTGCTGCATAATTTATTAAAGTTTTTCGTTTGTCCAAAGACATTACTAGAGAATTATTGATAGGTACTTCAGAATTCTTGTAAGTGACCTGGAGGTGACACTTTTATTTTCCTCAAATCTTCAGATGCGTCCATTATTTCTATCTGTCATGCTCTTCGCTAATACCTCGTGGTTTTTCAATATTGTTTGTATCCATATCCGCATTTCGATCAAAGGAAATATAGTAAATATACAATATACAATAATCTCACCGTCGCAAAATTATATTATAATATAACCTCAAAATTAGTCAAAATCGAAATGTCAACACTTCTATTCAATCATTCACCAGTTACCAACATAAATTGCACCTATTTCTTTGGTGAATTCATGTTAGCTCAAGAATCTATCTGCGACATACGCGGCAGTTTTACAATCTCCTGGGACATTGTCGATCTAATTGAAAACCTAGTAGGCGACCTAGTGCGAGGAGGTATAATAGCTCCTGCCTACTAACTCCCTAACTAGGTTGTCATCTAGAACGACAATACCTGGGAAAAACGATTCCAACTGGTTTAAGAATAGGAGTCATGACGAATTATCATTTCTTATGAGAACTGGAAGCATTGGACATAGATTCAATTGGATCATTCTCCTATAGGATTGAATTCCCACAGATTCGAGAATCGGCCCCAGGTATTTATATTTATATAGTTCATTGGGCAGGTTGGCAATCTTGACAGCTGATGGTAGGAAGCGTGATCCTTTCTATGTACGACCTATTTTGGCTAGATATTTTTCCTTCATGTGCATACCATTTATCTATCGTCTGATCTGTGAAATATAGTCTTTCAGTCTTTCTACGTCAAAATAACGTAAATCTGGAAGTTCTTGCCACCTTATCCGGTGTGCATAACCGTCATATCTGACGGCGACGGGGATTAACTCCCGGATTAAATTAGTTTCGTATAGTAAACAGGGTTTGGCGCGGAATTCGCTCTGTTGACTTTCGAGCTTGCTACGCCGTTTAATATAAACATAAGTAATTCACTTCCCTTCCAACACTTTCTCGAGACGGATCGATTAACGCGTTTTATTCGGCGACTGTTATACTTCAACAAATATTTCAGTTGATGATCCAGAAAGAAACTAACTTCATTTCTACATAAACAGGACTTGAAAGTTGCCTATAGAATTCGTTGTGAAGGTTTATAGAATAGAAAGAAGCTAAATTTGATAAATCAGGGGTATACAAATTCAACTGTGGATCTTGACCTAAAGTATATATATTGGTCAGACAGGCCGAACATTTAATCACCGTATTCATGAACATGACATGATTTTTTTGTAAACGAAAACAAATTCAACATACGCGAACCATATATATTAGAATGATAACATAGTTTTAATGATAATTCAGAAATTGCACACGTATGAAATAAATGAATAAAACTCAACCATTTCGTATCAAAAAACGCAAAAATTCTAATATTTTACTTAACAATCAACGAGACGTCAATAATTAACCGCTGTTGAATTTGATTTCTTAGTATTAATCCGGTTCACCAGATCAGAATGTAGATATTGTACCTACTTTCCGTTAATGAAGGTTTATCAAACCTTTCCACAATTAATTTTGATTCTGTAGGTTGGGGAAGTAGGATATAAAAGTCGGTCAGAAGACCCTGCATTTTCAGGGCTACAACTATGACGTCACCGAAACCACAATTGTGCAGCTGGCTTCTGTTTGTTGACTCCGTCGATTCGTTGTTTTGCCTTCCACCAAGTGTTGCCTATCTTTTGCACTCCTTTCACCGTATTGATGAGGGCCAAAAACCCGAAACACATGTCAACGGCGAACTCTCCCTGAGGGCTTCGTCCAGAAATCTTTTCCTAGTTTGCTTAACACAGTTCCCTCAATATTCCTTCCATTATCTATCTATCTATCTATCATTTGCAGACGGCAAGTTCCATCAACTTCCTTCGGGAGAGTTGCTCATCCACAACCTGGAGTTCAGCGATCAGTTCCCCACGTACCGCTGCAGAACGATGCACAGACTCAGCAGGCAGGTCGTACTCAGCAGTGCTGCCAATGTCAGGCTAACAGGTAAATTATTATTCCTATCATATTTGATGACACTCACTAATTTCTTACCATTATTGGAACAACGTAGGGAAGTCGACAACCTAGTTTTCTGTTGATATTTTTCGTTGACAATTTAATTCATGTATAGAAAATCTGTCATTATGTTATTATGCGAAAAAACTTTCTCCTACCAGACTGGCCGGCTGCAACAGATAATGAATTATAAGTTTCGTAGATGAGAAAAAATGCGAACCTATGCGTGATTTTATCGCCCTAAGACTTTTTTTTTGCTGTAAGACCATTTTGCAGTTGATGGGCGTGTACAAGAATTTCCAATTTGATTGAAGATCGGGGTTTTTAGGCTCTCTGTTCCAGTGTGGATTTAAATCTTGATCTCACTGTGATTCTCTTTAAATCTATTGATAATCCGTTTGTCATCGATTCCCTGAGGTTCAATAATTCACAGTTATTTGGGATAATATAAAATTCAGCTACAACTTCAACCATCCATTGAAATACTCCAACCAATCGGAAAATCCTGGAAAGGAATCGATATTTGAATAATTTTTATTCGTCGCGAGTCAACAGAACTGTTTCTTTTGCATTTTCTCCCTTGCTATATTCAAATCTAACTTCTGTTGGATATATACTGATCCTCGCAGTATCAATTACATTCTTAAAAAGAGATATTCATTCATGGAGTATCGCATCTTTCTTCGATTCGCTTTGCTACATTCTGGAAATGAGGTAATTTAAAATCGTCCTCAAGGCACTTCTCATCCGCGAAAAAATAATGGCGATGAATGAGAATACAAAGTACACAAAGATGGTTCTTTCAGTTTGAATAAAGTTTATTATATGACAGTTCGTTCCTTTTTCATTTTCAACAGCACTGCGGTAATGATATCGAACTCCTATAGTATTTCCTTTTTCCTTTGAATAATAATTGTGATTGTTTCAAACAGATAGGATGAAAAATAATAAATGTCATTTTTTATAATCAAAGCTCGAATCAAAGACCCGAGCACAACATCAATGGTTCCGAATTCTCTTCATTATTTTCTTTCCTCTTTCAATACCAGGATATCACAATTTTTCAGTCAAAATTGAACAAACGATCGATAGATAGACTCACTGCGACATTTTCTCCTCATGTAGTTTTTCCGGCAGTTCTTTGAGTTGAATTTCCTGAAAGCAAAAAAACTCGAATTATTAATTTCAAGTTCACTTGAGTCGTGACAACGCAAGATTTAGAAAGATTGACATACAAGCCGTCAAAGATTTGTTCACAATTCTGGTTGTCATGATTTCAAAAGCTACGTTCCATTTTGTCGCTGGAAAAGTTCTTTCGCCGTCATAAGGACAAAATCACAGCGATTTATGGTGTTTTCTGTACATGAGTTGAATTGTCATATATAATACCACAAGTGATAATATTTTGCCGGAAATATTCGGTGATTGTTACGACAGCTTGTTGCCTAGTAATTTCGTGAATGACATTGTTATCAAAACTACGAGCCGTAGGCGAGTAGTTTTGGATCAATGTCATGAGCGAAATTAGAGCAGCAAGCTGGAGTATGTCAATCGACGAATATTTCCAGGAAAAATAGTATCACGAGTTGTATTCGTATGACTATTTCATGATTGAATGAGACAATATATATAAGAAATAGGAAACATAATTTAATATTTTTATCAATTTTGATAAACAGTATTTTTTATATTATCTTGGAGATGGTTGCTCTCAAAAGAGTGTATACAATTACTATCCAATTCAAACAAAATAAATTGAATTTATGTGACATGGAATATTTAAAAAAAAAGATATCGTCGCCGAGGGCTCGAACCATTGACCTTCGTATCCTCGTGCAACAATCCTAACAGTTGCACTACATCAGCTAGTAATTTTATTAGTTAGTCACAATGACTTGAGTAATTGAAGAAGATTACTTCATAAAGGAATTTGAATTCTATTATTGTTGTGTCAGACCGTCAACAAATATGCAAACTTTTTGAATTACACATGAAACGTCCAGTCAGAATAAAATTGTCTCGCCTTTCGTACAAAATATCTCACTAATGCGAATTATAAGTAAATAAAATAAAGTAGGAACTTAGGTTATTGCCTCAGATTTGAATCCAGAGCAATCTCGACCAGACACGATGTCAAAATTTTATCGCTGATAAACGAGGTTAGTTGGTCACGTGTGGGTCAATTCGGCTTCTGTATTGGTAGAGCAAGTCCGATAAAATTTAATAAACAAAAAATATCGCTTAAATACAGAAGAAACCATGAAAATGGTCGATTCTGATTGGTTCTCGAGATCAAGAGTGGAATAGTCAGGCAAAAATTCATCCTCCATTTCGAAACAGTCATGATATTTTCATTCAAAATTTCCCAAGATCCTAACCCAACGATATCGTTAGATACGGGGGTGTTTCCATGAAAAGTGAGACAAAAATTAATTTTTCAGAACTGAAAAATGTTCAGGAAAAATATCGATATCTAGTGAATTGGGCGTCCTGATTCCGAATCCGAAGTGATTTCCAACCTATTTTGTCTCCTAATATCATTTTCTGGAAATTGGGGTGGTTCAATGGCTGTTAGCGAGCAGTGTATATATCACTGAAGATGACCCCACTTGGTCATAGATTACATTCTCGGTATATCTCCCGCTTCAGCAAATTTCAGGATCCTTACCCAACGATTACTTAAGATGCAGGAATGTTTTCATTAGTAGTGAGACATTTAATTTCAATTAAACATTTTGGAAAAATTTCCTCTCCTGCCTTCAAAATTCTGGCACGAAATAGAAGTTGAATCCATGTTTACGAAGTGCAGAATCCCACTTATTTGAGAGGATAATGACCTCCTTCAATAAACTCTGATACCGTGAGGCATCATCCACTCGAACAGTATGAATAGATGTATATACGATGCATTAAGTACACTGCGAGCGCATATTGTATAGCAACTCTAGCAGAATGAATACCCATTCAAACTTCATGTACACATAGTCATCAAGGTTGGATTGTATAACTAACGCCGTACGGAAATTCTCAACCAGGGCCGAACGAAGGGGTGGCAATGAAATAGATGGAGGGTGGAGGCCCTTCCAATCAGTAGATATATTTCGATGATTTCATTTTCTCCATAGTCCATAGGGCGAGTGATTTTTCTCTGGCATTACGAAAATATCAATGCCATCAATTGAGGAGACTACATAGTTGGAAGAAGGAAATTGCACGGATATTGTACGGATTATAAATGTTCTTAATCGCTGACAGATTTCAAAAATTTTGTGTTTCAACATGTACTTCCCAATGAGTTCTACACTTCTGAGTATTCAACACTCTGATTGCACTACGACACGGCCAACTATGATTAATTGAAAATGCCTAAAATCAGATAGTAATATCAGGAATTTTTTCAGCGGAAAACTGACATTTTCAACATGTTTAGAACTCCCTCAAATACATGTGCTCAAATTTCCATGTTGATATCATATACAGGGCGTTATTTATTGTCAATTAATTTTTGATGCTTGAAAATAATAAGAAAAGTATAATTAACATCATGATTTTTGAAATCTGTCAACGATTTAGAAAATACCATGGTGATGCTGCTCAAAGTGGGACACACTGTATATGGTGACTTCAATTTATTCATTCATTGATAATGAAGTGATTGATGCACATTGTTCTTCAGGGGAGATCATGTAAGATACCTAATTGTTGCTTTTTGGTGTTTACGTATAGGTATTGAAGCTGCGATTTGCGAAAGCTCCTATTGCTGCTGCAGATAACAGAACTGTAGTAGTGCCAAATATTCATAATCCAGGTTATCATCCATTGGTAGAATTGGAATAACTTGAGCAGATTGATCTTAGTCCTTTGAAACAATGCTAATTCCAAAAATTCCGAACAAAAATGATAATACAAATAAATATGACAAAATTGGCGATAAGAATTATTTTTTCAAATTGGTCCAGTAGTTTCGGAGTCTAGTCAATACAAACAAACAAACAAACAATCAAATCTATATCCTCTTTATAATATCAGTGTAGATGTAGATAAGCGAGCAATAATGTCACAACTCAAAAAATTCCAAATTGTGTACAAACAATGAGGAGACCAACTTGTCACATTATTTATTATAAAAGTAAGCTTGACCCTAGCACCTACATATCCTCTATGTGTTGTCACGCAGCAACTGTTAGACTTGAAGATGACACAATGCTCTAGAATACTGGCGGTATACAAGAGAAATATTAAAAATAATCACTCCGAGAAAAAAAAAGCTATTTCTAGTTCAACGTTTTCCACGTTTTTGAACAACCTAGGTAACAAACAATAGGTAATTCAATTTAAAAATCCCCGTAGTTCTCCCAAGAAAGATACTGCGCCAAAATCTAGACCAGAAGCCCCTATTTGTGTCGCCTCCACCTTTGTATCGCCTTTACTCAATTTTCCCAACAGTTTTACGACTTTTCTGCCTTGTATTGTTTCAGAGCACCGAGGGATAGTGGCGCCGGTCATCGTTGAAAATTCAGGAGCCGTAACGGTCGCCCAAGACGAGGGGGCCGCATTAATATGCATAGCGCAAGGGTGTCCAGCACCCGAATATAGGTGAGCAGTATGCGGAGATGAAAACTTAACAGACAATTGACAGTGAAATCGAGGAAATAATTAGAGTCTAGCCATAGCCCCACTATACGGGAAATATTGCCACGGTGGCAAGTCAAGAGCGTATAAAATTGTTTTGTCATCTGTTTTGCCAGAAGCGTGGTGATCATTAGAATAGTATTCTTTCCTCGAATATCGCCAGGGCACAGTTCCAGATTCATCTGAACAGGGGAATCATACCATACTTTGACGAGTCAAAGATCTGCATAAACAGTGCGAAGACAGAAGTCATTAACTTCCCAAAAAAATCAACAACTCCAGACTGAGCAGACCTTTGACCGTCAAAAGGGTTGAGGTGGCAGACATGACCACCGTAAAATACCTGGGAGTCAAATTGGACACCCGTATGAGTCTCAGGAAAAACACCAATTATCTAATTCAGAAAACACAGACGGCCCTAAGGAAGATGTATCCCTTGTTACCCACGACCTCCCCTCTCTCGCAGGAGAACAAGGTCCTGGTGTACGAGCAGATCATCAAACCTGTGATGCCATACGCGTGTTCAGTATTCTGCAGCATCTCACCTACTCATATGAATAGGTTACAGGTGCTGCAGAAAAAAGTACTCCGTATTATCACCAATGGTGATAGATACTCTCGAGTGGCAGATCTCCACGAGAGTATCACGAGTATCAGTGAATACATACTGAAAATTGCGACTAGATTCTACAAATACCTTACCTGGAACATCACAACACTTAGACAACATCATAACATACACCAAAAACACAGGCTGATATATGCATCAACCGCTGTGTTTAGAGAGCCTGATAATCTATAGTCAGGAACCTCCCCGGATGCTCGGACAAGTCCGAGCTACCGAGGAGAGTCTAGACAGCACTATCTCCGAAACATGAAAACAACAGAGTGTCAATAAATGACACTGAACTCGGGCAGAAGTGCCCATGTGGAAACACATGCGCACAACTGCCCAAGACAAACAAGAAGGAGGTTTTTTTATTTTTTATCATTTTATTTTTCGTCCGCCGACTAAGGAATCCTTTTCACTCTGATCGCTCACGAGCAGCTCCCCCACCCTATGGGTACCACCAGCGAGATTACTTGTATGAAGGGCCTAGCCCTAGGAGATAGTTCACTGCGACGAAAACCTCACATATAATCTCAAATTCCTTGGCTAACACCAGCCACCTCTGCGTCAGTGGAGGGACGTTCAAGCATACTCTTAGCTATGCCAAACCCATCATACTCAAATATGTTGTAGAAATATGTGTTGTATTTTGAAAAACTTGAAGATGAATAAATGAATTTAATACCTTCCTCCGAGCGAAAAGACCGGGGTTCGATCCCTACTCAAGCTAATCTTTTTTTTATTTTATTTTTCTTTTCGAAGTAGTTCATCGAAAAAATACTATTTCAATTATGTTTCTTCTCAGGATCGGCCGGAAATTTTCGCTCAGCGAGCAGCGAGCGAGGCGCAATATTACCTCGTTATGGTGCTATGGCTAGACTCTAGTAATATAGAGCACTGGTGCAGGGAGAGGGGGAGGGATTTGGGGCTCAGACTACCTCCGAACAATCATGAAAATGCCGAGAAAATTGATGATAATATGTGATTACTTTTAAAAATGTTTTGTCGAATTCATGAATTTAGTTCCTATTTCTTGAAGAATAAGGAAAACTTCGAATGGAAGCCAATATACAACAAATAATATACACATATATTGGATCTTCCTCTTATTTGATTCAGACCAGGGAAGAGTCACTCTTATCGTGATATCTGTCATGAAACAAAAATGAGAATGAAACCGGTATTGAAGTTTGATGCGAACAGCTCTTCTGCCCCAAATAAGTCTCAGAAATACATAGGATTGAAAGGATTGAACGGAACAAGTAAGTATCAAAAGCATAAAAAGTGTAAAGGTCATAATATTCTGCGGATAGTACCTTCTGTCTGATGAGATTGAGTAGTCCTAAACCTGAGTGTGTTGTGTCTGCTGCTGATTTTTTATCATACGGTCATCATGTGAATCATAAGGAAACATTTTGAGACAATTGAATTTTTATTGCTAATCAGGAATATTACCAATACTCAATTGAGAATCTGTGAATTATTGAATAACTAATATTTGTGAAGTCCCAATCATATTTCAACACATGGTAACTCTTTTTTTCTTAATGTTCTGGTTCCCACGAAAAGGGATATCCTGCTCATACGAAATCGTGGCATTAGTTTCTATTGGCTGTAAATTTCTAGCCGTTTGAAAATCACCGCGGCATTATTGATGAATTTAACACCTAATAATCTACCGAAAAATTCTTAAAAAACTATGAAATTGAAAGGTATTTGAGTGATGATTCTATATGAGAAATAAAGAATGATGTCCACTCGCCTATTGCTGTTCAATATATCCAACCTCACCCAATCATATTATTCTTCATGTTCAAGAGATAAGAAATACTTCTTCGTTTCCTCTTTCACCAAAACAATTATGAGATTTGGTAAACGATAGAGTAGAAGCTATATCAGCGGAGTTGATACAACAGTGAATGTTCCTGTAGTTTTGCCTGATGAATATCTCATTCCCAATATAATACCAAAGATATCCGACGATATCAAAGCTCTCTGAGATGATCAAAGCCGATTCCATGATTCCGTCGACGTCGATCAAGAACTGACGCAATACTATCGCCATGGCGACCGCGTTTTGCGTCATCCACTTCCGGTAATGGTCGAACTGCATAAACAACATCTATTATTTCGAAGTTTGTACGATACGCGTATTAATCACAAAGCTTTATGCGCGAAATCGACACCAGAGATCGTGATTACAATTCCTGAATCGTTAGCAAGTAACGTGTCATCATTTACTGTATAAAGAGGAGTTTCTGATTTTCGTGTATTCGATTCTTGCGTAATTGAATTGGATATGGAGAAATATATGTTCGATACATAATATGTCAAAAAATAGTTTTCAGAGGCACTCAAAAAGGTGCAAAATGCATTACATAATTCAAAACTCGATCTGGTAGTCAAATATTTCATTTAACACTTTAGCCGAACTGTCAGAAATAAGTGTTATTCAACAGGAGACGTAAGAAGATTTCCAAATTCCCGAACTTCTTATGTTATGTATTCCTTAGTTGAAGTACCCTTTAGGTGTTTTCGGAAACTCACTTTGGGTTGTTAACTCGATCCAGAGAGGTCACGTGACAAAAAACTCCCATCATCTACTCGTGTTCAACGTTTAAGAAGGTGTCAGCACATTACTTTCTTGGTTCGTGAAACCACCACTACACCTACCCAAATTTTCTTCTTTATGCATCACTAAATCAAATTATGGAGATTGAAATGAAAATTATCACCGACTGGAATTTTTCGCAACATGCAAACTATTTCATTATTATATTGTTGTCGTGGGGTGGTAAACTATACATTTCATGTAATTACACATCAATTAGATGTATAAACTGTTTCACAATATTTCATTTTTGGTTTTGAAATCAGGGCGTGGAAGGAGGCGACGATTTCCTTCCATTTATATTGTATATTATATTGACATATGGCCATCCCATGTCCCATCTCATTGACTGATCCCAATAACTCCTAGATAGGTACTCAATTATTTTCGATATTTCTATAACAGCATAATTTAATTTTTTTGTATCAGTTCAGTCTTCATCATGGATGTGGATTATGTTTTGCCCCTGTTCATGGTTCTGCAATAGAATGAATGTAATAAATTCAATTTTCCCACATTGAGATCAAGCAATATCTGGATATTTCTCAGTCCATTTTCTGACTTTTCGAACACCCAACCTGTGAATATGAGTGCTTATTGGTCCGCGTACGAAATGGGATTGCACTCAGAATTAGTGATGAAGCAGATACCTCGTGAAAATAATAATATGGGCCCTAAAACTGTTCCATGCGGTACTCCTTTTTTATTTATTATATTGTCAAGTTTGACCTTCTGTGTCCTATGTGATATTTAGTCGTCCAAACTATTGTTTGTTAGGCCACGTATCATCAGTTAATTAATATGTTTGATACAACATTATTCAGGTCATAAGCATGAGAGACTCGAACCTCCTACATACATATATTATATCAATGCAGTTTTTTAATATTATGCCATGCTCAAAGGTGTCGACTGCCTTAGCTGGATATAGAAATATGGATTAACATTTTTCTGATCTATATCTATAGCTCCAAATATTTTTCAACAAAATCAAGCCTGGCATTTCCGGTGTCGAAACTGCTAATGAAGCTGAATTGTCATTCTACCAGTGACAGTATTGTTTTTTTGAGTCTACTTCTGATGATCTCCTTTGAAGGAATTTTCCATGCAACCTCAAATATTGATATAGGTGGACGAAGTCCCTGATGATTTTCAAACTATAAATATTCAAGTTGGCTACCTATATATGGTATGCTGCACTCCTTCGAATTTCCATTGTCACAAACTATGTTTTACTGATGTCAGTAATAAAGTTCTGTTTTTCAGGTGGTATAATCATGCCGGCCTAGAGCCCAATTTGATAACACCAGGACCGAGGGTCCGTCAATTGGGACCTGTTCTAGCTGTTGAAGCAGTTACTCCTGATGATGGTGAGTTCAACCCTCAAAACTGTTTCGTGGTCTGTGATTCCAATTTCAATATCATCCATACTAACATATTAACATGATTATTCTGAATGTGACTATATTATGACTATATAGAGTAGGTGCTTACCTGATGCATGAACATAATCTCGTCTTACACCACTTTACATTCAATCGCTTTCAGTTAGTGCGTTTAATTTCGATTGTATATAGATATCTTCTCTGCAATAAAATTGTTACCGTTACTAACTTTATAATGAAAAATGAAATCAAGTCATAATCCTTTCTGATGATTAATAATATTCTGAATTCGTATATTAATTCACATAATGTTCCTAGATAGAGATTACAACGAATTCAACAGACTTGCTGACATACTTCGAGCATTTCAAAGGATTACTCTTGAGTGTAAAACAACTCGGCATATCGGTAGCTTGCAAATATCAAGCATAAAGAATAGTCAATTACCTTCTTGACTTGTTTGTGGCTTCTTATTGTATCAATCCATATCCTGCACCGTTTTTTGCGCTTTGCATGTAGTAACAAATTATCATCTTAAACATTTTTGATTTAATACTAAGGGCAACCAAAATAGTTTCGATCAATGATTTATTTCAAGATGAATGTTATTTTTCCTTGAATTTTCTGTCGCTGCGTGTTTCGCCTCAATTGGAGTCATATTCCCAAAGAAGACTTACCTATCACCTGAAACTCCAAAATTAGAGATGAAATAATTTGCAAGAATGCATCCTAATGCTGAATGATTTCTTTCGATCAAATTCGATCATTCCATGAGAAATGGAGAGAGACAAATTCGCCGTTCCTACAAGTGGTTCCTTTGAATGAAAAGGTATCATGAACTCATTCAACATTGGAATGCTGAAGTTATTGGCGATGCATTTATAACACGTGCGTTCTTATGTAACACAATTCAGAGGTATTTTGAAAGTGACACTTTGATATTCGCGCCGTGAACTGTGAAAAGTTATATTTTGAGACAAGTGATGAAAATTACATCTTGGTTGACCGTTGGTATCGTTCTTAGGTTGCTTCTCATAGTAGGAGAACCGGCTGCGAATTTCGTCATCTAAAAACGAATATTTTTTGTTTCAAATGCATGTAAAACAACGTATTTTATCGAACGGCACCTAGGCCAATCACTATCCTGAGCAAACTGATTGGAAACTGGCACTTTCCTGTGCGTGAATTTGCACTTAATTTCGCGATTTGATAACGAGATAAAAATTATGCCATCCAATACCAATTGAATGGTAGATCCACGGCACAACGATTCATTTGCTCTCATTTTTTCGTACATACTTCCGTCAAGTGATGAATAGTTGGAACAATAGGCAAATAAACGGTGTGCGATTCAAACTGATCCAATTTAGTGGCAGAGCATCAATAGTTCTGAGAATATTTTGCTACTGTCGGAAGATAATATCCGATGGACCACTGTAAAGCTCATATGGTGCTCGCACTACAAGTATTCAAATCAACATGTTGAGTTTTACACTGGTCCATCAGATATTATCTTTCGAGAGGGACGAAATATTCTCGGAAATATTGACGCTCTAACTTAGACCATTTTGAATCGATGCATGTTTGGATATTCGCAAAAGGGGACGGACATTACCCCTCTTATTTGCTTCACGTTTAAACTTGTTACCACATGACGGAAGTATATCCGGAATAATAATGCCATTAATGAATGAATTTGGCTCAGATTGAGGTATCGTTATCGTTATCGATTTGCGAAATGAAGTGCAAATTACGCTAAGAATGCACAGGTGCCGTTCGATATGATACAATGTTTCTTCCTACATGCCTTTATTTCGTTATGATACGTGGGTAAAACTTTGAAGCCGTTTCTTGGACTATTATCCTGTCTCTCAAGCTAGAGGCACGAGTAAGAATCTTCCCAGGTACCACAGATTAGTGAAATGACGTCATAATGACGCCTTTCTTAAGTCATTATTGGTCTATGACCTCCTCGACTACAAAGATACCTAAAAACGACGTCCCAACAGAGTTAACTTTTTGCTCGACTTTTTATCATTCGTAAACTAAACCTATATAGAGCTCTTATGATATTTTATCCAGAATTAGCAATAAAATAAGAATCCCCTTCATTAGCAGTTTTTGAAGGAATAAACATAATTTTATCTTTCCAGTGTACAAAAGTGAATATTCCAATCATACTCCCATAATTATTGAATCACACATAAATTTGAGAGCCTAATCTATAGTGGTTTCATTGAATATATGGACAGGTTTGAATTCTAGATATAGGAATAAGTACTTGTCAAATACCCAGGTGGCGCAGTGACCTGAGAAGACGTCATAATGACTTCGATTTCTCGTTCAACATTCTTCCGACCAACCGAAAGAAGGAAAAAGTGGTTTTCTTACCTTTTCATCGTCTATCCTACGAAATGCGAGTTTGTATATACGTTTCTCTACAACGTGAAACTTCATTTGCCAACATTCCGTACGTAGCAATCAAACTACTTTTATTACGCTCACATCTCGCCGACTCTCGCTACATAATTTTAGATATAAATATGAATAGCTAATGTTACACTCACATAGAGATGCGAACTGATGATAACGCCAGGATTGAACAGGATTACACACGGAGGGACCAAGTCATCAATGACTGTTTCTATAAGCCTATGATATATACCATGAATATTTTTAGTTTACCCCCTTATAGGTCACTCTGAGACATCATTTTGACGCATGAATATGACCCCTTATGGCTGTGACATCTTGACGTCTTTTCTAGGACTTCTATACCTTTTCAACTTCAATTTCGGAATCGGTAAGTTATATTTCGGTAAATGTCATCTCGATTTCAGAATTGGTAAGTTCGATTTCAGAAATGGTAAACTCAATTTCAGAATCGGTGAGATGAATTTCAGAAAAAGTCCATTCAATTTCAGAAATGGTAAGTTGTATTTCAGAATTGGTAGGTTCAATATCATGAAAAAAATCCTTATATTTGTTCGAAATGTTTCCAATTGCATGTGAGATTAACGAATCATATTTGAAATATTCAACTTTTCAAAAACAATTCAATCCACAGATACCTTCCATCTGAATCGCTGGAAGATAGTGGCGTTGCACATGATTATAAGAATGCAAACACATTTGAGGTGTTATCATTTTCATTGAATGATCTGCACATTCTTCAAGACATCGCAGTCTGAATTCTATCTGGCTGAGCAATCTGTTCGGATCTCCAGCTACGACCGTTTGGCGATGCTCTTGCAAGAAGCTCTTCACTTCTGACTTGAAGGCACCCCATATATGTTCAATCTGATTCAACATAGGGCTCTCAAACACCGTTCCATCCACTGTAAACAATCTTCTCTTTTGCAATTGAAAACATTTCAAACATATAAAAGGATTTCATCTTCTGAAATTGAACCTACCAATAATAATTCTGAAATACAACTTACCATTTCTGAAATTGAATGGACTTTTTCTGAAATTCATCTCACCGATTCTGAAATTGAGTTTACCATTTCTGAAATCGAACTAACCAATTCTGAAATCGAGATTACTTTTTCCGAAATATAACTCACCGATTCCGAAATTGAAGTTGAAAAGGTATAGACGTAATTTTTTGACGTCAATCGGTCAGTTTTGTGACCAAATTAAGACGTCATTCGTACGTCACTGTGCTACCTGGGTTTGTGTCGCCAATATATTTTTTTTCTGAATCAATCATCTGATTTCTGTATGCCCAGTTGACTTTCTCCCTTTACCAATATTTTAATCGCCCCCAAATCCTTCCAGGCGGCGTTTACCGGTGTTCAGCTTCGAACGCAGGAGGCGAATCCAGCGTCGAATTGAGGTTAATAGTGTCCTCCATGTTACACGTCGAAATATCCCCTCCATTGATGAGCGTTCATATGGGAGGAAGTGCCGAATTCAGGTATTAAATAATTTAACTCGGGAAAATTATAATACACTCACCAGCATAGAGAATAACAGGCCAGAAATAGTATACTCTTTAACTATAGCACGGAATGATAGTGATTTCCTACGAGAATGAAGAATTATTCAATCTTGAGTATCTTCATAGTTTTTGGCATCATGAACGTAACAAGGCCGATATATTCAGCTAATAACAATCCGTTATTAGCGTAATGGCCGTGTGTTCTTCAAAGTATAATCTCGCTGAGAGAATACGTTTTGATTAAGAGGAAGGAGCAAACCACGTACCTCGTAATTCTACAAAAAAATACCAGCACCGTGCTGTTATGGAACAGTTAAAGGCTGCCGGCCGTTAAACAATCTTAACGGACGGTGACTGTTAGCATCAACTTTTTTATTGCCATCTGAAGACCGTTAGATCAAAATAACAGTATGAGACTACGAAAGAATATTTATTGCTAGTCAATTAGTTAGTGATCATTGTCATTCAACAAGATGAGTTCTGTAGATATATCGACTTACCATGTAACCTCATATCAGGTTCTTCAAATATTCATCAATAAGGTTTATTCCATGCATCAATATTACTGAATAAACATCCATATTGATAGTAGAAAGATTAACAGGTGTTCTGTGTAAAAAACCTAAACTAAAAACAGAAATAACATTTTGAAATTCTCAGAGTTTCATAATCAGTCCCCAAATGGCGAACATTTATACAGGGTTGGGCAAAAGTATGGAACCAGGTGAATATCTCGGTAATCGTTTGTTAGATTTTTTTGAATATATGTACAGTGGTATTTCAAAACGTGGTGGATTTGAAAATGTTATCGTCGATGTTGCTTTTTTTTTCAGTTATTCCGGAATTATTATCAACTTCCTTATTTCAAATAGGACACCCTGTATTCTATTGAATTTTAACAAACGGTTACCGAGATATTCACCTGGTTCCATACTTTTGCCCATCCCTGTATATCAACTCGTTTTCAGGTGCGTAGTGAATTCACAGAGCGGCGGACCCCATCTAGTGACCTGGTACAAAGATGGTAGGCAACTTCCGAGCACCGGAAGAGGATCCAGCGAAACATTGGTGGTCAACAATGTCGGTAGGGAAGACAGGGGCATGTATCAGTGCGTAGTGAGGAGAGCTGAGGGAGATACCGCTCAAGCTGCTGCAGAACTACAACTTGGAGGTAAGCAAACTAGCTTTTAGTAATATGAGACCTCGTATGAGACAGCTGTTCTCTCAAAGATGAGGAAGCTAGACGCTTTTTCTTTGAGAAAGTAGCATTCTTCCGACCTAGGCTCGGCCTAGAATTTCGCCTACTCGTCCGGACTTGCTACTTGAATTACTATAACAGGATTGCGAGAATCAAAATACGAAGTAGTCCTTGTTTGGGCATCTGATCTGTTTTGTAAGTGTCATAAAACTAGAGTATTTGTTTGTGACACTCATAAGGTACCTTAGGGTGATATGGCCCGGGTGAAAATACAGCCCATCCTGTTTTTTGTTGACATGAAGCGTTATCTATCAACCAGTGGCCTTAGCTTAGTGTTTTAATAAGGATGTAGATCAGTTCTTGTTACTTTCGCTAACTGTTGTTTAGTTGATCAGGCGAGACAAAGGTGATCGAATTTCTCGCTCTCATAACATATTAATTGTATTTTTGAAGTGCGTTGTTTCAGTGTTTGTTGGGAAAGACCAGTGAGTACATTTACAGCTTAGAACTTTCTATACCTTTTCAACTTCAATTTCGGAAAAAGTAATCTCGATTTCAGAATTGGTTAGTTCGATTTCAGAAATGGTAAACTCAATTTCAGAATCGGTGAGATGAATTTCAGAAAAAGTCCATTCAATTTCAGAAATGGTAAGTTGTATTTCAGAATTGGTAGGTTCAATTTCAGAAAAAAAATCCTTATATTTGTTCGAAATGTTTCCAATTGTATGTGAGATTAACATATTTACAATATTCAACTTGTCAAAGACAATTCAATAACATAATTATACTCTCAATTTAATCCACAGATGCATTCCATCCGAATCGCTGGAAGATAATAGCGTTGCAACATGATTATGAGAATGCAAATACATTTGAGGTGTTATCATTTTCATTGAATGATCTGCACATTCCTCAAGACATCGCAGTCTGAATTCTATCTGGTTGAGCAAGCTGTTCGGATCCCCAGCTATGACCCTTTGGCAATGCTCTTGCAAGAAGCTCTTCACTTCTGACTTGAAGGCACCCCATATATGTTCAATCTGATTCAACATAGAGCTCTCAAACACCGTTCATCCACTGTAAACAATCTTCTCTTTTGCAATTAAAAACATTTCAAACATATAAAAGGATTTCATCTTCTGAAATTGAACCTACCAATAATAATTCTGAAATACAACTCACCATTTCTGAAATTGAATGGACTTTTTCTGAAATTCATCTCACCGATTCTGAAATTGAGTTTGCCATTTCTGAAATCGAACTAACCAATTCTGAAGTCGAGATTACTTTTTCCGAAATATAACTCACCGATTCCGAAATTGAAGTTGAAAAGGTGTAGTCGTAGGGAGAATTTCACTTTATAAAACCTAAATATTGTTCTCCAGTTTTTGATACATATCCTCACATTTTTCGCCCTCCTATTTCTGGACCGTATTAACCCTAACGACGGAAATATGGCCCATATTCAATTTTTTTCAAATTGAATATGTTTTTGTTCTTTGTTATGATAGAAACCTCCATTTAGAGAATGTATTTCAAATTTTATAATTAGTTCATAAAGATTTTTTCAAGAAATCAGTAGTGGTAATTATTAAATAATTCTTCTACGGGCAACATACTTGAACGTGGGTCTCATCACCCCAATGTACCTTACAAATAAACTCTTGCTTCCATTATATATGGCGAAGTTACTGAAGATATTTTATTCAAGAAATCACTTGACACAAGGAATTTGAACTATTGTGGTAATGACTTTGAGTTTCTCTCTCTTTGTGACCAAAAATGTATGGCAATATTTTTAGACCTGGCTAAAGCGTTTGATACGGTATCGCATAGTATCTTACTTGATAAAGCATACAAATTTGGTATCAGAGGGCCCGTATTGAGAGTGTTGCAAAACTACTTAGATGATAGGATACAGTATGTTAAAATAGAAAATATTTTAAGTGATCCTGCTAATGTCAGTATAGGTATACCGCAAGGTACCGTTTTAGGCTCGTTATTATTCCTCTTATATATAAATGACATGAGCAATATCAAGAATTTAAATGGACACATCGTTTCCTATGCTGATGACACTGCTATAATCTTTGAAGATAATTCTTGGGAAAACATTTATAAGAATGCTGAAATAGGTATGGGTAAAATACAAACTTGGTTGAACGTGAATAAACTCAGTTTAAACGTGGATAAAAGTAAACACATGACTTTCTCACTAATAACTACAGATCAAATAGATAAAACTGTATTTTTACACATAAAGGACTGTCACAAAAATAATTGCAGCTGCCCCAAAATTGAGAAAACAAATACCATAAAATATTTGGGTATCATTATTGATCAACATCTCAAGTGGGATGAGCATGTAACATTCCTAATCAAAAGACTGAGAACACTGATGTATAAATTTTACTTGCTAAGAGATATACTGAACAGAAAACTCTTGAAATTAGCCTATACATCTTTAGCGGAATCGATAATTAGATACTGTATCCTAGCATGGGGAGGAATGTATAGTAGTATCATAAAAAACCTGGAATCAACTCAGAACAGTTTAATAAAAATTCTTTATCACAAAGATAGGTTATTTTCTACTGAAACTTTGTATCAAGAAACAGAACTCCTAAACTTACGAAACTTATATGTTTTTCAATGTTTAATATGGATGTTCCAAGAAAGATTATGCCTGAAAACAAACAAAACAAGAATTACTAGATTCACTATTAGTATGTCCATTGACTTACCTATTTATAAAAAATCTCACACACAAAGATGTGTCCACTTCTATGGACCAAAATTGTACAACTTACTGCCCAATGATCTAAAACAAATTTATTATCTTCCCAAATATAAATCTGAAGTCAAAATGTTCCTACTTCGCAACTCTAACCTCTTCAAAATTTTCTGATATGTTTAGTCATCTAACTGAAACGTACCGACTCAATGTCTCTGAATATCTTGATGACATAGGAATATAAATGTTGGTCACTCACTTGGTATTATCAACATATAATTTTTGTTTTTCTAAACACGAGAATTTTGAACTCCCAAATTTTCTAGTATTATATGTAAAATAGGTACCTAGTTCTGACATAAGTCCATACGCTTTTCATACTCCTTGGAGGATATACAATACAAGCATCACGGTGCTTAGGTGTTTCCTTAATGGAGTGGGAAAGATTATAATTATTATTTATACCAAAATAATTTTAAATAAGAATTGTACCTACCTATGTTATGCATGTACTACATTACTACTGAATGAATAAAGTCTATCTATCATTGCATTCCACTTTGAGTAGTTCGCTTCCTCCTAGTTGAAAATACGCCAGTCGGGCAACCAGCGACTCCCATTTCACCTGAAATTGAATCTTATTTTGGAGTGTTTCTTGCCTTGCCAGGTGGCGATCGGTGTTCGCGTTCATTTCGCGGACGTTGAACGCCTCGTGGGGTATACATGATGGGACGCGTTTACGTTGAGTTGGGTTAGTACCAGATAGAGGTCAAGAATGCTATCTGGGACAGCCCTGCACTGATGAGGGCCAACAGCTCGAAACCGATCTGCAGGTAGTCACCAGCTCGGCGTTCAGGAAGAAAACACGTGCGATTCTATTCGTCTATACGAGCTATTGCAAAGAATTCGGGATCCAATGTTCTGCTTGGCATATAGGCAGGAAAGTAGTGGGTTTTTCTCTCGTTATCTACCATTTTCGTTCATTTTATGAACTATTGTGATAATGACCTTCTCTCTCTTTGTGACCATTGCATTCCACTTTGAGTATTTGGCTTCTTCCTAGATGGAAATAATTGTTGGTTATTGATTGAGCCATCAATTCGAAATGTTCTACGCCTCTGGTGCACTCAAATTATGTATCTCAAGTGCGACTATTTCACCGGATAAAGCTTTCGAATGCGATGCTGCCATTGAAATTATGGTGCATATATTTGCAGCACTCTCATTACACATGAATCGGAATGCATCTGTCTTTGTATGCATACAGCTGTTCGACAGAAGTGGAGCACGTTTATTCAGGATCTTGCTATTTTTGCATTCCCGAGAATGAGTGCTGATTTTTATGTCCTGGAATGAAAAAAGCGAGAACCGGCAAAATAATGACTCACTGACAAACATAGGCGTGCATTTTTCGTCCCACTCATTCTACAAATGTCATTATAATTGCAGATGCCCCTCCCATTCTCCTCTATAGCTTCATAGAACAAACTCTACAACCAGGACCAGCTGTTTCACTGAAATGCAGTGCGTCTGGAAATCCGACACCTCAGATTTCTTGGACACTAGATGGATTTCCGCTACCAAGTCATGGAAGGTAAGGAATTCAAATTCAACATGAAATCTTGTGTATCCAGTACATTTCAAGTTTTATCCGACATGAAGTTTATCTCTGTATATTCATAATTGGTTGGGGAATTTCATCCATCCAACGAATGTCTCGCAAGTATTTTCACTCGCGAATGGGATTATCACGAAGTTTTGAATATTCGAGATTACTCTGTTGTTTCCCAGTAAACACACTTACGTCGAAATAACGTAGTGAAATTACCTCAACGGTTAGTTAGAATAACGCAAAAATGTCGCTGACATACACGTTGCTTTTAACCAGTACACAAACATGTTTTCAACTGCTTATTTGATATCAATTGATTCTTTTCAACATGAGAAGACGTTTTCAAATGAGTAATTTTTCACATATTTTCAACATCAACAGTTCACGGCCAAACGACGTATCAAGTATACACCTAAAGTTTTAATTATGTGAATTTCAAACGTTGAAATAAAGGTTAGTTGCTTGATAGTATCAACGTTTTGCTTCAACGATTCATAGTTGTTGTAGCCCAACAAGATGTAATGAACCGTTGGAAATAAAATGTCTAAATAACGCGAGAAATAACGTGTTAATTTCTCGTTTCTTTCAACCAAATTTCAACGTTGAAGTTTTCACGATTCCAATCGTTATTTGAATTTTCATAAACGAGTATGTGTTTACTGAGTTTGTTGTTTACAAAATTATGTTGCCGATGCCGAGCAACACCACGACTCAAGGTCATAAATGATTACTCAAATAAATAACTTGATGAAAAAAAAAATATTATAAGAATGAACAAGCTATCATAACCAAAGCGATTTATTCTGACATCTTCAACTATAATTTTATGTCAAACTTTGCTAACTAACGCTGGTAGACCAATCAGAATCGAATCGACAGCTATAATTAATTTCACGAGTGTGATTTTCTATAAAAACAATTAGTTTCGAAAAAAAAAAGGAATTTTGGATAATCATCAATAAAACCAGTTGTATTTGTTCATCATTCCACTTGTTATTTCATTTATAAAACAATGATTCATCGTCGTATTGAAAGTGTTTCTTTGAAATGGCGGTCATACAAAAGTTGTCCAAAATTTTTCGAAACAAATTAATAGTGAGTATCTATCACGATTTTGGCTGTTCAATTCAGTGTAGAGTGCTATGGGCGAAATGGGCTCCGTGGCCGAGTTTGTCTATGCGCTGAAATTCGCTAGATAGCCGTTCACGATGCAGAGGTACTGTCGGTTCGAATCCGGCTATCGGCTAAGCATTTTTCTTGAAAATGTGTGATTCATGGTTGTAATCCTGGCAGCACCTCGATGCCCTAGAAGTGGTTCGGATTCCACTATAAGCTGTAGGTCCCGCTCTTTCTAACCCCGCACAAGTTTCGGCTTCTGGGGAGTTGGTTCCCAACTTTGAAGTAGCGATATACAAATTTTACAAATGTTTTACAATTTTACAAAATTTATTCCTGAATATAAAAATATTTTAACATCTATAGCAGCTTGCTGCAAATGAATCATTTTGTTCTATTTCCTTTAAACTACCAATGAGGAAGCTGAACACAAAATCGAAAACACATCAGCAAGTAGGTAGCCAGTACCTCTCCAATCAACAGCCAAAACACAAACCAACCAAGAATATGTATTTTGGAATGAATGGAATAATCATCTGAATACACACATACCGGGTGACACGGTGACACAGGGTATCGGGCCACCCCTGTAATTTCTGCATTCGTGAACGGATTTTTCTGAAATTTGGTATAGTTATATAAGCAACTATTTCGGATTTGATCACATTACAATCCAATATGGCGCACTTCCGGTTTTTCTGGAAATGCCAGCAACTTTGTTTTTTCAAATTCTAGTTCAATAGGTCTAAACAAGTGTTATGTCAGATGTAATTTTCGCGAAAATGTTGAAATCAAAATTGTTATTGTATTTTACCTGCAATTATTCCTGCAAATAGGAACAACTAACAATAGGAATATATATAATTGTGTGTACCGTTTGAAGCATTATGTAGGTAAGCTTATTACGGAAGCCAGCATGCCCATGGTGTTTGGCCTCTAGGTTTCAGACATTTCTAGGAGATGAGCCAAAAACACTTCTTCTTTATTTGGTGTTTCCACGTTTTCACTATTGCACCATTCAATAAATCCCGTGTAGAGATTCTCATACCTATCTTAAGACTTCGTTGGCAATAACTCATCTGTATCGCATCCGTAGCTGCAAGTTTTCCATCGCAATTTCACTGAATCGAAAATGACAGTAACGCTCTGTCTGTCACTCTGAGAATTATACTAACTAATTTGTGTTTTGATTGACATGACAACAATTGTTTTCCACATCAGGTCAATTAAAGGCTATAGGGAGTATAGGGGGACTTATATTACAATAAATTATTATTTTTCAATATTCCTTCATTTTGACAATAAATAGTTCAATTCGATGGATGATTTTGTACAAACTTACTAAATACTGCAACAAAAAAATCGAAAATGTCCATATTGTGTCACCCACCACTCATATTCTGCGAGAATATTATATAATGTTTTCCCGCACTAGTGTGGGAGAACCTTCCCCGCACTAGTGTGGGAAAAAATTTTCCGCACTACTGCGGGAAAATGACACTTCCCAAAATAAATTGAGTGCGGGTATAGGGTGAATCACGCACGCTTGTAGAAAAAACTATTTTTATGTCACTCATCGATGAATCATTTCAGTCACATCACATTTCGATCAAAAATTCAATTTTTTCAAATGAAATCCCATCGCATGATAAGTGTAAAATCACTGTTAACAAAACTCAGTCCCCAAATTGATAACTAAAAGACTAGACAACATAATGTCTTGGCCTATTGCGGTTCTAAAGAGAATAGACCGGGAGTAGGAAATCGAATCGAGAACTTCGGAACTTCCAAGTAGAGTTTTGCGAATTCCGATAACTTTGTATGAATTACCTTTCGAGGAAATCAAATACCAATGAAGTTTTGGCTATCAAAATTTACAAAGTGAGAGCTATGACAACTGTGGCTTGAATGACATAGAATTAGTCAAGTCAGCTGAATTTGCCAAACTTCGTCCACTTGACGGGTATATGTAAATCGGTCCCAAGAATTATTAGGCCAAAAATAAGGTGTAAATTCGGGCTTAAACTTTGCTTTACCTGATAATGCATAGGTAAATTTGGTCCCAGGTTAATTGTTTTGTGAGGGGCTCAGTAAATATTAACATGAGAAAGGAGACTACTTTTTCCAAACAATCTGACCTAACTCGGCCTTATATATTATATAGGTATATAAGTAGGTCATAATATGAGGAAGGAAAATATCCTTTCTGCATAGGAAGGAGATTACTTTTTCTAAAAAATCTTACCTAAATCGATTATGCAGGCAAGTATATTGTATATTGTATAACCCTTAGCAATTGACATGGTTGGGAGTGTTGGGACCCGAATTCAACATCACCCCATTTGACCTATTTCTTCTCAAAATTGTAACCACTGAGGGTGATTTTTTACATCGGACTGCATATTTCATCACGTGTGGATTGAATAAAATGTGACTGCTACACTGAAACATATAACTCTCATTTGAAATGTTAAACATTTCATGCATCGGTTCTTTGATGCCTTCGATCAATACATCATGCATTGTTACCGTTTATTCTGCCGTTTGTGAGGCTCAGTGATATTCATCTGACAACCCTTTGACATTTCAATTAAAACTTTGTATGGACACGTGGAATATAAACATATTCGAATATCACATATAGGGTTATTAACATTTTCTCTTAAAGCTTCCTGGAAATATCGTTATGATATTCATGGAATCGAGATTGTAAAACATGCTGTTCAATACTCTATAATTAATTAACTGGCATTATTATTGAACACATTCACTAGTGGAACGATATTAGTTTTAGTTAGTCAGAACTGTTCTGTACGAGATTTCTCTTCTACTCCTATTCACAACTCATTTCTATGTCCTGAAATGGAACATTGTATTCAATAAAGAAGCGTACAAGTATTAAACATTGAAGATTTATGATTATTATTTATGATTACTCTACTGTCAACATTTGGTAAACATTCATTCCCGATAGCCCGTTTTACGCAAATAGGATGACGTTAATATCTCCCTCCAATATACTTGTACGCTTTCTTCTTGAATACGACTGTATATTGCAATAATGAATTTCATTTCATATTTTCATAACGTCGTCGTTATATCTTCGCAAGCATTGTTTGGAGAACGACAATAATAATTATTGGTATATTGTCGTTTGAAGCGTGTGAAATAGCTATTTATATCAACTGACTGAATCGAAAGAAGGGGAAACAAAGTAGTCAATTTACTCCCACGGGAGGAAAAAAAATATCAACTCCCGTGAGAGGTTTGGGGGCGTAGGCGGATGAGCTTGAAAAAATCTAATCGATCGTGAAAATTCACCGTTTCATTAGAACGTGTATTCCTCGTTATGAGTTGATTAGATGAGTCTGCGGTGGCGGTCGATGATAACATTCTTATCATTCGTGGATGGAATTTTACTATCATCGGCTAGAAGGAATGCTGGTTTGAGTCTGTTGATTGACACAGTAACTTATTTTCCTTTGATGTTGATGACGAAATATTTATCTCTTCTGCGTATGACGAGAAAGGGACCTTCATATGGCTGTTGAAGTGATGATTTTACCATGTCTCTTCTAATGAAGACGTGCGATGCTGTTGCTAGGTCATTGAAGATGAAAATTCTCCTGGAGCCGTGGCGTGAAGATGAAATTGGTTGTAACGTTTGGAAGTAATGTCTTAGTCGCTTCACATAATCTTCTGGTGGTGCAATGATGGAGTTTGAAATCAAGAAGGCGGATATTTTCACCAATTTGGGAGCGTAAGATGAGAATAAATTGCGATGGTTTTCGGTCGCCAAGTTCTTCGTGGTCGAGTGAACGACGTAGCTTTTGCTCTCTTGAAGCAGATAATCGGGAAACAAGCTC